TAAAATATTTCAAATAAAGATTTATATTTAATATTTTTAAAAATCGGGTATGATATACCCATGGTTAGTAGTGGTGTAACTTTAATTGATGGATAGTGTTCTAGGGTTAAGATAATATTTCAAGTTTGTGTCGTGATTGTAAAGAAAGACAAAATAATTAGAATATGAACAAATTTCTGAAGGCACGAAAATACCACCTTTAAGTAAATATCACAAAGTAAAAAGTAAACTTTGCATCTTAATGGGATTATCGCCTTGATTTAGATGAATTGATTTAAAGAAAAACCCCTGCAAGTAATGTTACAATCGAAACAGTGAAAAATAAAATCAATTAATGAAAGATTGATGAAGGTTATATAATGTCAAGAAGTACAGATTTACTTGTAAATTAATAACAATGTATTCCAGTATATATTATATTGTGTTCATCGCATGTTTCTGTGGCTTATATCTTTAGGATTTATTTATGAATAATATTTCGCTTTCGACACTTAAAAATACGTTATTACCAATATTTTAGTTGAAATACACGTTATATATTTTATATAGAAGGAGCATTTTGTACGCCCCATACGCTTGTTGGAGGGAGTGTGAGTGTCTTTTTTTCTCCTTTTTTTCTCCTTTTTTTCTTTTTATACTCTTGTAGGAACTTGCTATTTTCACCCTCTTTTGAATTTTAATTATTTGTAATTAAAATTTATCTCTTTTTTTAATCGCGTTCCAACTTTCCCTCCTAATTCGTTATATTGATCGTGTCTTTGATTGTTTTCCAATTTGCCAACGTATACCTAAAATATTGGTCGAAAGGTACCTAAGTTATAACATGACGTCCGTTTTGTTTATATATATGTATATTTTCTTATGTAAATATAAATATATACAGAAATGTTTCCAACATTGATTAATAACAATTTTATTTGTAGAACATTGACTCACATAATCAAATCTCACTTAGTGTAATGTTACCTTAAATGCACACATAGAATATACACTCATACATATACATACACATTAGGGGGGGGACCACAACGTGGTGTAACGGTTAGAAAGCTTGTCTTGCTAGATCAAATACAACTGAGTAGTGAGTTAGATCCTCACTGGGTGCCCCATACTTTCGGCCTTGTGCCACATCTAAGCCGGTCTTAGAAAATCACTATACATACACATTGGGCATAGTATGAGTGATCGATGTTTTTTTTTTTTCTGTTAGGATTTAAGAACACTTCATTGTAAAGAGTTGTGACAGCTGTCTGAATAATCTCAAAACACGTGGAAGTCCTGGACTTGTCATTTCAAATTCTTTTTTTTATCATGCCTCATAGGGACCTGATTATGTACCAGGACGTTTATTTTTTCTCTTTTGTTTGCTGCCATAGTCTTGGATAACGGTACACAATTCACTGCTTAAGAATTTAAAGAATTGTGTAAAGTGTTCTCGATTCGGGCCTATTACTACCATGCCGTATCACCCAAGGTCGAAAGGGACACTCTGAACAATTTGTGGGTACATTTAAGAGAGCTTTTTAAAAAGCAAGTAATGAAAATGTGAGCGAAGAAGCATTACAAAAATTCCTGAGTATACCGGATTATGCCGAATCCCAATACATCGGCAGGCATGTCACAGGCAGAATTAATGTACGTAATAAAAATTAAATCGGTGTTCAACAAGTTTTTACCAGGCCAAAAAAGAATAACAGATAACAAAAAGGACACAACTTTTTTTTTTAAATTGGCGAAAAGTGTCTTTTTTTTTTAGAATATATAAAAATGGAAAAGAAATGTGTGAAGACGGCGTAATAAGGTCACAAACTGGAAAGATTATATATATGTTGAAAGGCGAAAATGGGAACACAAAAGGTATTGAAATCAGTTAAAGAAAATGTTTACTGAAGAAAGGCTTGCAAGAACGGAAGAACCTATGCAAGTACTGTATGATATTTTTGATGTACGAATACCCCAAGCATTCGTTGAACGTACAAGTATGATTACCTGAAAAAGGAAACGTACGGAAAAACTATAGGTTGAACCAAAGCGAAAGAAATACACAATTCAGTACGTTGTGAACTCTCCAAAAAGAAGAAAGGATGAATACTAAGAAATAAAATAAAATATTTAGTAGTAAAAAAAAAAAAATATCAAAAGTGGGGGAGTTGTGGAGTAAATAATAGAGCCCCGGTAACATAAATGAACTAGGCAAGACGCCTTAAATAAAGAACGTGAAGTAAGTCAAGGAAAAGTCTGTGGGAATCAGTCCAGAGTTCGTTAAAGCTTACTCAAACTAATTCAAGTCTAGGCACGCGCACGATGTGTTTTTGTTGCTAATCGATTCGATCTCATATTTTTGCTTGAAAAACTGTTATATTTTCGATAAGTTTATATCTTAATCTTTACGGTTGTTTTTTTACTGTTTGTTTTTTGTGGAAGATTTTTTTTTTTTTACCCTCGCCGTCATTTTTATTTTTGTTGCTAGTGTAACATCTAGTTTCACTAGTCCATTGATTTAACTTTTGTACATTGTATTTTAATTTGTTTTCCTTCTTTTCGGAGAGAACTTTGTTTTCATTTGTAACCTTTTTTTACGTCAAACTTAAAGCAGCTTTGTTAGGTGTTTTTGTTTCATTGTCTTCGTAAATTTTTCTTTAATTTTTCTGTATCTGTTTAAGAATTTCTATTTATTTATTTTTTTTAAGAAAATTCCCTGTTTTCGTTAAAGTAAGCAAAAATGGCCGATAAACATCGAAAAAGAAAGACCCTCCCGATAAAAACACTCAATCAACAGTGACTACAATCAACAGTAGCCATTACCAAAAAAAATTGACGAGCAAATAGATTCAAGGAAAGGTATGGAGACCAAGAATAGCCAAAATCAAGGTGTTGCCAACTGATTTCAGTAAAAATAAAAACAAATACGAAAATGTAGTGGCTAAGGACTCGCCCTTTTGATGAAAGATCCCTACCGAAGTGCATAATCATCATGAAGGAGTTCCTGGAGAAAGCCAAGAGCTACACACATCTTATCAAAGAAGATGGACTCTTGGTAAATCTTCAGGAATTACAAAAAGTTGAAAAAAGATTTGTATCAGTTTTTGTGGCCGACAGCCGTCCGCGCAAAATTTGTCGCGCCACAAAAAACACCGTGATAAAATCGTTGACGTCCTGGGGGTTAAGACCCAAAGAGTCATAAAAGTTAAGGGATACTTATCTGAAACATACTGTTATCCATGCCTGCCTACTGTGAGGACACTTCCAGTCGGGGCCTTATCACAAAAGACCTCATCATAAGAACTGAATATGAAAGCAGGCGTATGACCAATATCAGTATTTGAGGTCCCTTCTCGGAGCACAAGGGAGCACTTGTCTGTTTATCTGACTAAACTTAAGTAAATACTCGGTGCTTCCTGCAATAAAAGCTCAACCTACTGAGGAAGAGGAATTCTATAGAAAGTGAAGACCACAAATATAGAAAAGAATTTCCAGAACTTTTCACAGGCATTGGTAGACTCTAGAATATATATATATATATATATATATATATATATATATATATATAAAAGTGTCTGTGCAACCAATATCTATATCAACTCCTGGCGCTTATCTCTTTCTATAAAAAAAGTTCAGAAAGAGTTACAACTTTTAGAAGAAACATTATACGCACGGTAAAACACCAACAGACTGGTGCATCCCAGTAGTTGCCGTGTTAAAGGAAAACTACTGGACCCTAGGGGTCAATTCATCCAAACCTTCCTTTTTTAGAAGTATCAGCATGTGAACCAACTTTCTTAGCAGATAGGGAATATTGGATGATCCTTCCATTGATGAGCAAAAAAAAATGAAGCAATAGATATGTTTCTACTAACAGATACCATAAACAGAATATTGGAACAGCAAGAAAGCTTTAAGAAGAAAAAAAACTAAATACGTACAATCAGAAAGAGACACTTTAAACTTTTGGGATATATAATGAGGAAAGAAGGCCCAGAGAATTTAACACTGACATGACATACTGAAATCAAGGAAAGAAGGGGAAAAATAGCACGTAAACTACTTAACGAGTTTGCGTGAATGGGTAGCAGAACAGGGACAAACTGGAATGGCAATGAGGCAAACGTTACTTAAAGTAACAAAAGACAGAGAGTTATGGAGGATCATGACTGCCCACATTCTGAAATGACACTGCACATCGGTCCTGACCTGGTATCTCAGCTTAAGTTGCTTATCTGTGCGTTTTCATGGCAATTGTTATGATGAGCTTTCCTCTTTGGTATCTCGACTTCGCGAATTTAATCGCAGTACTAGATTGGCAGCTAGGTCTCATCACTTTACTGATAAAATAGATGTAGCCATAAGATCTATGGTAACTCTTGTGAAATGCTCTTCTGCCTTCTTGATTGCCTGTCAACGCTGGTCTTCAAATATTTAAATGCAATATTTCAACCGTCATCTTCTGTCTTTTTTAAACCTGTCCTTTTATTTTCCTTTCTCTTCAATAATATTTTCTCCGTTTCTTTCACTCTCAGTAACTCCTTGCTTCTTAGTGGCTTTATTACTTTGTATGGGATGAATTGATTAGAAAAGTTGTGTATATAAATAGCGCATGTTTGGCTATGAAGCAATAAAGCTTTTAGCAACGACAGGTTCCGAATTGTACAGCAGTCAGCGTACTTACGAAGTCATCTTTGCCAGAAACATTCAAGAATAAATACCTCAATAAACAGCTGAATATCAGGTTATTTGAATTTTTTGATCGATACATTCATTCATTTTCTACGGTTTATCAACCCTTTGCAATTTATTTCAAATAGGAAAATATTTTTTTTGATTGTAAGAATTTTTTGTTGAGGTGGAGATAATAATGATTTAGTAACACAAGTCTTACTAATTAACCCATAGCTGGGAGGAAAAAAGAAGAAGAAGGTATTTGCGCGTACGTAAGTATAACGGAATCAGCGAGAATTGGAACTCGGATTATCAATTCCGAGCCGTTATCCATTACACACCATCAGCACCTGTGGTATTTCCAAGTGGTCACCCACCTAGGTACTGACTAGCCTCAACGTTGTTTAACTTCAGTGATCGTCCGGGAACCGGTGTTTTAACATGGCTGTAAGCAGTTTATTTGAAATAGAGTAACTTACCTTACTCTAATACAAGGCTTTAGGGAAGAATGTGTTGCGCCGGTATGCCTAATATGTATTTCTTGTCTTAACAATCAGCATTGGAAATACCTAACTTTTATCTAATCTTCAAGACATGGGTGATCATGGCTCTCCATGATTTCCTATCCTTTGCAGCTCATAGCAATGTTTATCTTTACAATACTTCCTACCCTTTGCCCCTCTCGTTTTATTTGGAGAAAAACAAAACATCGCGTAGGGACTTTCTTTCCAGTGGGGGGCGCTGTCTAAAAAGCAGTATTTGAAATCCCGATTTCTCTGGACAGTCAGTTATGATACACGATCATGCATCTTTCGATACATGACTGACGTGGAGGATTTTTTTCCCGCAGTGGGTTGCCATTTCTTTCTGCGGTAGACATCCAAGGCTATAGAACTCAGTCTGTCCTGCTATTTACCCATAGCTAGTGGGAGAAGAAGGGGATTCATACCTTTCTCAAGGGTATTAGCTCATTAGAACTTATTCACAGAAGTTAATATAATGGATTCGACTGCAATTCGAACTCGGCTCTCCGATTCCTCAAACCGAGCTGCTATCCATTGCTCTGATTTTTCTGGTACTGGTGGGAAATTCACAATGACCTTATTCAACAAATAAGCTCTCTATTAACTTTGGATGTCTTCTGGTTCATTGTTTGACACGATCAATCGCATCGCTTTTCTTTTCCCCAGCAAATTTTTAATTATTTTTTTTTCAGAATAGCAATAAATATTTCGTTAGACTGCACAAAACACTTAACCAAGCTCTGAGCTCCTTGGCGTGGGGAAATTGCAAGCGAGCTACTCTCCTTGAATAAAAGAATTCTATACTCACTGACTGCCCTATACTTGTAGTCTTGTACCAAACGAAGTCAAGTAAACATTTTGTCACCTTGGCATGGCTTGAAGATCAGCATGACGGTTTGGGTGATAATTGCTACTGAGTAGTGTGTTCAATCCTCATTGGGTGACCATTAGTTGTAGTCCTTTTGCCAAACTAAGATAAGCTTAGTATATAAATTTCAGACAATATCAACATATATATATATATATATATATATATATATATATATAATACTAATAATCTTATAAATATAAGCAGCTATACTCGTCCGGCAAAATCTTAGGTTTTTACGCTTGTCAATAAACAAACCAACACACAAGGGAAAGAAAAGGATAAAAAAGAAAGAACTAAGAACATGTACCTCCGGCGAAAATAATCGTCTAGAATGTAAGTTCAGATTTCCAAGAAAAAAACCTCCGACACGAGTAAAGTAAAAATAACTAAGCAAGTGGAGCAAACTAAGTAAACCCTAAAGAGCCAGACACACCTACCTTGCTTGGGCTGCATCTGATGATATATATATATATATATATATATATATATATATATATATATATATAAGGAAACCTAAAGAGCCAGACACACCTACCTTTTTTGGCTGCATCTGATGATATATATATATATATATATATATATATATATAAGGAAACCTAAAGAGCCAGAAATTTGTTACCTAGGTTTCACCTACGGGGATCGTCAGGGTTAACTGGCTAAAGTGGTAATAAGAACAGAAAATATTTTCTGTTCTTATTATCTCTTTAGCCAATTAACCCTGTCGATCCGTGTAGGTGAAACCTAGGTAGGTTTATCTGACTCTTTAGGTTTCCTTATATATATATATATCATCAGATGAAGCCCAAGCAAGGCGGTAAGCCACTGAGGCAAAAGGGGTTACTGAGTGTGAAAGATATAAAAAACAGAAACATTATTAAGAACAATAGAAGAGTAATTAGAAGGACAGTAGATAGCGATTGGCATTGCATTTAAATTTTGGGAGATCAAAGTTGACTGGAAAACAATGAGCCGGGAGAGAGTTACACTAGCGAGAAGAGAGAGAAAAGAACCTGCTGGCATACAACTTACACTTAGTAAATTCAATTGTAAATTGATAAGAACTTGTGGCTAATCTAGTACTGCGCTTACATTAGTAAAGTCTGTGTGCCATATCAAAGAGCTCATCCGATCAATGAGCAAAATGTTTATAGAAAGGGCACATGGGAGACAACTTGAGAACAATGTGAAAGTGACTGAAGCCGAGACTCCAGGTCGGGATCAAGAATTTCTAAATATATAGCAAGAGCACCGGACCATATATGGCAGTAATATTCCAAGTCTGAATGAATGGTAGACTTATAAATATGTAAAATAGATTCTGGAGGGAAGCATTGTTTATCACAGTACAATGAAAGCAAGTTTCTTAACAGCAAACCTATCAATAGATTCAATATAGTCAGTCTCCTGGAGGTAAACATCTCCATATATATATATATATATATATATATATATATATATATATATATATATATATATATATATATATATATATATATATATATATATATATATATATATAAATATATATATGTTATATTCATTTTTATGAATAATGAGTTCGAATCACTGGTTCCTTCTAATTTCGGCAAATTCAAATTATCTAAACTACCTTAGAAAATGTATATATATATATATATATATATATATATATATATATATATATATATATATATATATACATATTGATTTTTTTTTAGAAAAATCAATATGTATATATATATATATATATATATATATATTGATATATATATATATATATATTGATTTTTTTAGAAAAATCCATATGTATATATATATATATATATATATATATATACATATTGATTTTTCTAAGAGAGTTTAGATGTGGCACAAGGCCGAAAGTATAAAGAACCCAGTGAGGATCGAACTTCTATTATTCAGATAAGCTTTATTAACCATTAAACGATGCAAAGGTGCCCCATATATATATATATATATATATATATATAGATAGGTGATGTTTACCTCCAGAAGAGTGAACTCGTTGCGCTTTCTCGAGTGAACATTTTCAGCTGACAAGAAGTACATATATATATATATATATATATATATATATATATATATATATATATATATATATACACCTTTTAAATCTGATATTATTTCTGATTGCTATAAACGTTATATCTGGGGGGAAGGGCTTTAGTAGCGACGATATTTCCGTAAGTATGATATTTATTAAATTTGGCTAAAGGAAAATGAACGTAAGAAGATTATGTTGCGCCAGCCAATCTTACAAGTTGCAAGGAACCATATGCTTTGATAAATTATTTTAAATCCTAGTTTTTATCTGGGCTTGAACCACTGCCTCCGAAAAGAAATACCTCTTATTTGCTGCTGTTCCCAGGTCCACCCAAACCCGGGGTGATAGCATCTCTTAGGCTCCCAGCTATGAGTAAATAGTAAACCCCCAAACAAAAAACAGTACATTTTTATAATAAAATGACCAACAATGCATTTTTATAATAAAATGACCAACAATGCATTTTTATAATAAAATCACCAATCCATTTTATAGCAAAAGGACAATCAATGCAACACTAAAAAAAATATAAATATATATATATATTGATAGTAAAATTAGCAACAATACATTTTATGATCTACAAAGTATATATCTAAAAAAGTATACCCTTTTACCCTGAGAGTTTAAAATTATGTACAAGGTATTTGTAGTTGAATGTATAAAATTGCATGCTAGATATTTAGATTTCAGCATTAAATAACCAATAGAGTTTAATATGCCGCTATACAAAATCAACTAACCAGATATTTAACATGTTGCCTCATAGACCAGCAGGAGCTAAAAGAACATGTGGCAGTTGCCATACCCCTAAGTGGTCACGTGGTAGCAGCCTTGCAGCAATTACAGCTAAATAAATGCTAATGTCAGTGTGTCACACATTTTTAACTTTAATCCTAGAGGCCGTAGCAACAACATATACCATTTTGGAATCAGGCCGACTCCGCTGGTAAATTAAAAACATTACGGGTCGGATTCAGATCCGTCGTCGTAATCCTGAAATTTGGGATTCCCAAGTTTTCATTATTGCGATTGTTTTCGGCGATTTTTTTACGTGATTTTTTTTTCAACAAATATTTTTGTACAATAACAATTTTTATAACTTGGAAATAAATTTGGGAATGGTGGAAATTAATTGCGAACTCCAGCGAAAGTCACCCATGAAATAAAAATAATTGTTTGTACAGAAAGAAATAAACTACTTACATTAAATTATCTCTAAATTAAGTGAGGACACAAAACTTATCGTTGAACTTTTAAAAGGTAAGCTTAAATATTAATGCAATACTTAAATGCAGCAATCATTTTTGAGTTCTTCTGTAATTTATTGTTGCTTATCGCATATAGTAGCGGTATGCCTCGCAAAAACAAATCTCTGCCAACAGAGGATCAGATTGCAATCAAAAGAGCCAAGGCTGCAGCGAGCAAAAGAAAGTCTTGTACAAATGAAAAATCAGATCAAACGGTAGCAAGGAGAGCTTCCAATGTTGAAAATACGCAAAAACTTAGGGACTCTCAAACTCCTGAACAAGCCGTAGGCACAATGAAGAATCCTCCGCCTGATAGGTCGGCTTTTAAACTAGCAACAGCAACTTCCTCGATTACAAATCGTAACACCTGTCACGTAACAAGCTCAACAACTATAAAATGATAATTTAAAATATTTTAAATGCTTCAACAATATTATAAATCGAAGATTATCATGAATTTTACAAGTATCTCACTCAGTTTTGTAATTCAGTTATATACAACCGCTTCCTAAGATTAATAGTAAAAAAAAGGTTTTGGGCGAGTAAAGCCTTAGGGTCTTGGAAAAGGTTATCCTTCTTTGAACACTGAGGGCTGGCGCTACAGATTCCCAAACAAAGAACTGTACCAAATAACAGAAACCACATCACTACCAACAGTAACATCTAAAATGGATAACACATATAACATTTAGCTATTTTCAACAGTGGGTGAGACCTAGATGCCAATGCTTAAATTCATGTAGTCAGAGTAAAAGCTTGTCA